TTATAGCAGCCACCAAACTATCGGCCAGCTATCGATTAGATGATTACTTGATGATATTTGGTTTATATTTTTGATTTTGACCAGTATTATTTATTTTATTTACATGTAGATTAATTAATTTTTCTGATAACGAAGTTGTTGTTATTTTAAATTTATTAAAAAAAAGTTAAGAATAAAAACAATATTTATATAAAAAAATTAAAAATAAAATTTATAAAAGAAAACAGATAAATTTGAAAATCTAATAATAGAACCTATAATACCAATTATTACTTTATCAAAGTTATATAAGATTTGTTCTTTCATTTCATCAGGAATATAATTGATAAATTTTTCACTGTATTTTTTAATAAGATTTTGAATTTTATCAATAAGTTCTTTAACTTGAAAATCTGTAAGTTTACTAACTAATTCTTTCATTTTTTCAAATACAATTGCCTGTTTTTTTATTTCTAGTTTATCATGAACAGTATCTTTTGATAAAGAATTTTTAATATATTCTTTAAAATGTTGCTTAATTTTGCTTTCTTTGAATTCATTTTTACAAATTAGACAACTGATAAAATTAATCTTTGAAGTTGATAAAGTTGTTATTATAGATGTTGGTTTCACAGAAGAAAGTTTAATAATTGTTGTTGAAGTTGTTTGTTTACTTGTTGTAAGTGTTTCAGTTGTTAAAATTTTTGGAATATTAGTTGGTCTTGGTGGAGTATTAATTGTTGTTGTGGGTTGATTGATAGTTGTAGTTGGTGGAGTATTAATTGTTGTTGTGGGTTGATTGATAGTTGTAGTTAGAGGAGTATTAATTGTTGTTGTAGGTTGTCTATTATTATCATCTTCAGGTGGAGGAATTGGTGTTGGATTTGTTTTATCTGTATTATTTCTAAATATTATTAATTAAATAAAAAAAACAACAACAATAAAAATCAAATATTTACTTTTTATTTTTTGCACGATCTTCAGCATCTTCTTCAAGTTTTCATTTTAAATCTCTAATTTTTTCTCCTAATCTATTAATAGTCAAAGCAGAATTTTGATTGAGATCAATCCATCTATATGCTTGTCTAAATTCTAATACAGTTGTACAAGGTCCTTTTAAATGACCATCTACGTGTGAAGAAGCAAAAGCACTTCCAAGATTATATCTACTTTCTTCTTCCCTATCACTCAAATATTTTAAATATCTTGAAGATTCATTAATATCCACTACAGTTATAAACCAAAAGAATCCTGTATTAAATTGAACAAATTCAGTTTCGTGTATATTAGATGATTGAGTTATATACCATTGTTTTTCAATTGGCCATGTAAAACAAGCTATTTTTTTATAATCACATTCTGAACAATCAATTTGTTCAATTTTTTCATATACGAGATTATAATTTCTTTTGATTAGACTATTAATTATATCATTAATATCTTCAAATACATTTTCCATTGGTAAATGACTATTATTTGGTACAACTGCTTGACTGATAGGTAATTCACAACTAGTATTTACTTGAAGAATTAATGATCTCATATTAAAAGTTTTTTTAATCAGATTGATTGTAAATGTATTAGTAACATCTGTACCTCCCTGTATTTGAGCTAATGGAAATCTATATTTTAAAAGTCCTTGTTCAGTACTATCATCTTGGAGTGAATCAAGTTTTGAATTTATATGTCTAAAAATATTTAATCTTACAATTTGATAAAAATCTACCGTATTTCGTGGGCTAAACTACCCCCCCC